ATAACCTAGTCCGGAAATTCAAAAAGATAGTTAATTTGGTTTCAAAATGCCTTGGGCAAGACCATTGAAAATAATGGAAGCCCCTCTAAACTGACAAAGAACAATATTAATAAAATCTGACAAATCTGGAGCAGTGAAAAATGGCCAAGTTATATGCATTATGCTTCAGCTCCAGCTAAGCAGCCTCTACCTCTGACAGGATACAGCAGCCAAAAGCAGAAAGAGGTTGTATGTCTCCATATGTGTACATTAAGAACACTTGCTAATCCAAGACATTTTGCTCCCTTTGTGAAAAGATATGGAGTGATTACAGAAATCTAAGATAAAAGAGTGTTGCTTCTTGGCGTGGTTCCTCCACCCACTCCTCTAGCCTGCGACATTTGGAGGACTAATGGTCAGGTGGGGGTATGGTTTAGATCAGCAGTGAGATCCTGTGGCCAGGAACTCCCGTCTGGCAGATATGGTGGCTATGCCAAGGTGGAGGTGAAGTGGGAGTAAACACCAAATCAAACTCACTGCCATCGAGTCATTTCTGACTCATAGCGACCCCTTCTTGGATTTCTGAGGCAGTATCTCTATGGTAGTAGGTTGCCCAATCTTCTTTCTGAGGAGTGGCTAGTGGGTTTGAACCACGAGCCTTCTGGTTAGCAGTCAAATGCCTTAGGCACTACGGTACCAGAGCTTGAGATTTGAAATACAGTCATGTCTGTCTTAGTTATGTAGTGATGCTGTAACAGAAATGCCACAAGTAGATGGATTTAACGAACAGAAATTTATGTTCTCACAGATCAGGAGGCTAGGTTGCCGGCTCTAGGGGAAGACTTTCTCTCTCTGTCAGCTCTGGAAGAAGGTCCTTGTCTCTTTGAGCTTCTGCTCCTGGGTGATCTTCATGCGGCCTGGCATCTCTCTTCCCCTATCTCTGCTTGTTTCCTTGTCCCAATCTGTCCTTTTTATATTTTGTTGGAGTTTGACTCAAAACATATCTTATACTTATCCTGTCTTATTAATATAACAAAAGATAATCCATTCTGAAATGGGATTATAACTACAGGCTTAGATGTTAGGATTTACAACACTTGGGGACCCAATTTGATCCATAACAATGTCCAATTCATAAAAATTGAGAGTGTGAACAAGGCAAATGAAAGTCAGACTCGACCTTAGAGGGTTACGTAGCAACCCAAGGAGACAGAAAATGCTGCTAAATTCCTAACAGCCTGTAAGGGAGGAAACACAGATTGTTTTCTGCTACCTCATTTAAGAGACCTCACCTGGTGTATTCCACTCTTGGCCTCTTGACCACTTCCCAATATCAGGAGAAGAATGTTTGTAAATTAGAACCAAAAAGACATTTAAAGAGTTCAAGGAGGACTAAACAAAAGAACTCATTATATAATATTTGCAGTCTCCCTGCAATCAACCTACTTCTTTTGGAGACAGTGTGAATCTTGGGTATGTTGCGGTGGGGGTTGGGGCAGGAACGGCCAAAAGAGGAGTGAGGATGTGTTCTTCATGGTCTCCGGACTCAAAGGGCAAGGATTAGGCATATTGACAATTTCTAAGAGGACCAAAATGATTTTATATATACTGCCTTGTGAATTAGATAGCAGATATCTTATTACTTGTACTTAACATGGGGCAGCTGGTTATTAACATGAGGCAGCCTGGGGTTGGGTTAGCAAAAGCTACTCAGCTTCATTTAATAATAATAGTAATAATAAACTACAAACAAAGCTACTCCATTATTAGTCCCTGCCATGTGCAGACACTGTGTTTGGTGATCATATGTGATACAGTTTAATCCTCCCATGCCCCTGCACAGTTGGCATGGCAATCCCCACTTTATATATAAGGAACCTGAGACCAAGGGTTAAATAACTTTAAGTGATTCTAACTCAGCCTCTGTCTGATTCAAAAACCTCTTTTCACTGTGCATTAAAATCAAGTAGAAAATTGTGAAGGTGTGCAGGAACCTGAGGAAAGCAGAACTGAATTTGAATGTGTGGGAGAGATTATTAATAGCAAGCATGAAAGCTCCAAGCTCTCCCCTGAGGTAGCAGGATAAACTCCATCATTTTCGTTAGTCACGTGGAAAATGGATATATTCTTAAAAATTAGCCTAGGTGGGAGGGAAGGTGGGCAAGTGTTGTTAGAGGAGGTCAGGGCAGACAGTGGAAGCCATTCTCTGCCTCACATTCCTTGGTCATAAAGAGCTAGCTAGGCACCCTGGTGTACAACCCATTCATTTGAGTGCCTGATGAGGAAAGTGAGAGGAGATGAAAGGCACTGAAGTGTTAGAATGATAGTATCAGTGTTCTCCAAAAAACACCTGGTGCAGCATCAAAGTGGCTCTGCACACTCAAAGCTTCAATTAAATTAGGTGGAGTGAGAGAGAGAACTGGGGCAATTCTAACATGTGCACAGCCATCTCCTCTGTAGGTGGGGTCATCTGCATATACACCTTGCCCAAGGCGTAAATAACCTCAAGATCCCCTTTAAGCTGGCACTGCATCCAAACTGTTTTAGGCACGACAAAGCATTCTTCCTGAGGCAGACATAAATCAGAGCAGACTCCCCAAGTGTACATCCTTCTTACCTCCTTTAGAGTCCATGAGTGGTGCATATGGTTAAGCTCTGAACTACTAGCCTAAATGTTGCTCAGAGGTGCCTTGGACAAAAAGTCTGGTGATGTGTTTCCAAAATTCACAGCCTTGAAGATCTTATGAAGTACGGATCTACTCTGCAATATACGAGTAGATCGATTTTACCATGAGTTGAAATTGACTCAATGGCAACTGATGCTAGTCTTCCTTATTGCCTAGGTTTTATGATCAATGGGCTTCCTTCACCTACTCTGCTGAGATTATGGCTGGACACTTTTGTTTATCCATTAACATTCTTAATTTATGTTAGTTCCCAGTCCCCCCCCCCCCCCATCTGGAGAGTCCTACATTGGCCTGTCTTTTGCATTGAGTTCTGAAATGTGGGATTTGTATAAATGTCATGCAGATGTAGAAGGCAAACGTGGTGGTATCTCAAGCTGCATATATCTAAAGCCCCCAGAACTGTTATATAGAGACATAGGAAATACATAACTATGCCTCAGACTCATAGTAGACTTCCTACTATGAGGCACACACAGTAGAAGGCCCAGGTGTAGTAATGCAAGTCTGAAATGTTCCATCAATAGGTGATCAGACCATTAAGCTGTGATATCAAGCCAGATTCAGAAGAGGATGTGGAATGAGGGATATCATTACTGATGTCAGATGAATCTTGGGTGAAAGCAGAGAATACCAGAAGAATGTTTACCTGTGTTTTATTGACCACACAAAGTCATTCAACTATGTGCATCATAACAAATTATGGATAACATTGCAAACAATGAGAATTACAGACATTTAATTGTGCTCCTGCTGAACTTGTACATAGACCAAGAGGCAGTTGTTCAAATAGAACAACGGGGTACTGCATGGTTTAAAATTGGGAAAGGTGTGCAAAGGGGTAGCACCCTTTCACCATACTTCGTCAATCCATATGCTGAGCTGGGTTTGGAGGAAGACTCATTAACAACCAGCAATATGCAGATGACACAACCTTACTTGCTGAAAGTGAAGGGAGTTTAAGCACTTATTGATGAAGATCAAAGACTACAGCCTTCATTCAGTATGGATTAAACCTCAACATAAAAAAAATTCTCACAACTGGACCAATAAGCAACATTACGATAAATGGAGAAAAGAATGAAGTTGTCAAGGATTTCATTTTAATTGAATCCAAGATCAATGTGCATGGAAGCAGCAGTCAAGAAATCAAAGGACGAATTGCATTGGACAAATCTGCTGCAAAAGACCTCATTAAAATGTTGAATAGCAAAATGTCACTTTGAGAACTAAGGTGCGCCTAATCCAAGTCATGGTATTTTCAATAGCCTCATATGCATATGACAGCTGGATAATGACTAAGGAAAACCAAAGAACTGATGCATTGGAATTATGGCATTGGCAAAGAAAACTGGAGTGCCAGAAGAACAACAACAAAAAAGCTGTTTTGGAAGAAGTACAGCTAGAATGCTCCTTGGAAGGGAGTATTGGGACTTTGTCTCCTGTACTTTGGACATGTTATCAGGAGGAACCATCCCTGAAGAAGGACATAGTGCTTGGTAGAGGATCAGCAAAAAAAGAGGAAGACCCTCAACGAGAGGGACTGAAGCAGTGGTTGCAACAATGGGTTCAAACATAGCAACGATTGTGAGAATGGTGCAGGACGGGCAGTGTTTGTTCTGTGATACGTAGGGTCACTATGAGTTAGAACCTACTCCATAGCACCCAACAAAAACAACAACAATTATTGAATACTAAACAGCATTATAATAGAAGTTGTCACTCTCACATTTCAGTCACACCCAGGACCAAATTAGTAGCCTATTCAGTATCCAGCATTGAGTAATAGCTGCTATTCTTTGGAAGGCATTCACTTGTATTAAAATTGCTGGCTGAGCAGTTTGATAGAAGTAAGGGCACTTCTCTAGTGGAAAATGGAAATTTATATGACATTATTGCACAGAGACCTGGAAATTACAGCTATGAGAAGGGCTTTTAAAAATCAAAGCCCTACTTTTCACCTCAAAAGCACAAACAAAATATTAACAGTTGTCACAAAGTGTTCTTTTTTTTTTTTTTTTTTAAATAGGTTGTATTAGATGTGGGAGTATATATATACCTGAGATGAAACAAAATTATGTTTACATTTACATATATATAAATAGATGAATAGGCACTTAGGCACTTAAGGAACTAGATTAAGGAGGTGTTTTCAGGAATTTATGATAAAATTGTGATGGTTTTTATTGCAGCTCCTCCTGATTTTTTACAGATAGCCCATGCTTGTGGGAAAGCTGAATTGTATTATGGAACCTGACAATAACCTTTTCTTTCCCTTCTGTTTTTCCTCCCTTTTCAGAACTCTCTTCACTCGCTGAGTGTTAACAAAAAGCCAAGATGTTGGTATTACTGGCTGGTATCTTTTTGGTCCACATCGCCACAGTTGTTATGTTATTTGTTTCCACCATTGCCAATGTGAGTAATGCTTTTATGTTCATTCATTCATATAGCAATTATTTATCCAAATACTGATTTACATAAAGTGCTCCAAAAGAAGTTTAAGCCATAGTCCCTTTGCGAATTTACTGTTTAGTTGTGGGGAGTACGCACTCATACTTAGAGAATTAAATAACCAGGAGACAAGTCACATAAATGCTACAGATGTTCAGAGATTGGAAGACATATAAGGCTTCTTGTCTCTAGTAGACCCTTCTTGATGGAGGTGGAGCTTGACGTGAGCTTAGAGGCCTGGTAGATGGGTGGGGTTCCTATGAGTCAGAGAAGGACAGTGGGAGGAACATGGGGGTGCATTCCAGGCAGGAATGACAGCAGCAGTGCAGAGGTGGAGGGACAAGCTTTGTTCGGGGGATGACGAGGACATCCTTGTGACTGGAACAGAACTTCCTTTCCTGCTGGGACCCTTGATTAGAAGGATAGATTGGAGAGGTTGAATAGCTCTGATTGCCAGGCTGATGAATTCAAGTTTTGAGCAGAGAGTAGCATGTGCAAGTAGAATTTTGCAAGATTGACCCAGTTCCATTGAGTTAACCCACTCAAGCAAGACAACATATAAATATCACAGGGAGGCTGCAAGAGTCATTTTTCTCAGAACCTTGGGCTACTCTGACCTCTAGTGGTACTTCAAAGAGTCTAATTTCCTTTCTCTGCGCTTTTCTCAGGAAAAACTAAGTAGCTTCTTGGACATAAAAAACTAAGGCTACTAAATCACTGGACAGGTAAACTATGGCTCCAGAATCTGTTAAGGACCCTGTTATAATGAAAGGATGAATTTAAAATTCAGATAGGAGAGCTTTGTAAATATTAAAAACAAACAAACAAAAAAAAAACCCACTGCCATTGAGTTGATTCTAAGTCATAACAACCCTGCTCCATAGGGTTTCCAAGGCAGTAAATCTTTATGGAAACAATTACCACATCTTTCTCCTGTGGAACAGCTGGTGGGTTCAAACCTCCCAATTTTGGGTTAGCAGCCAAATGCTTCAACCACTGCACTACCAGAGCCCCTTGTTGTATACACTAGTGGGTGTAATATAAGCAAGGCTAATGTAAGCATACCTGTGGTAAGTCAGCACTCCTGTATCCCCAAGCCCTGACTATGCAGCCAGATTGTAATTTAGCCATTCCGTAGGCCAAGCCCTGCGTTTCTTAGGAAAACAAATCTGATAAACAAACTTCAGACTATGTTAACAGATGCCAAAGTGTCAAACATTTGTTAATGGTTGTTAATTGTCGTGGAGTCAGTTCTTATCAGTCCCTAAGATGGGATTTGGCTGCCTGGGTGGTGAAAATGGTTAAGTGCTCAGCTACTAACTGAAAGGTTAATGAATCCACCCAGAGGTGCCTTGGAAGAAAGACCTGGCAATCTAGTTCCAAAACTCACAGGCACTGAAAACACTATAGAGCACAATTCTACTCTGACACACATGGGGTCACCTTGAGTTGAGTAGACTTGATGGCAACTGGTAAACTGGTAACATGGAGCTTGGCACATAGTTGTTTATTGACTGAATAGCAGAAGAGTGCCCATCCTTGGCCCCACCTTTCCAGTGATGTGCATTTTAACAGCTGCCTTGTGTTGACAATGACCCCACCTTTTTTTTCCATTCCAGAAGGGTAATTGTTCTTCCTGGGTCAGGTGGGTAGGGAGGTTGGTACCACAGTAAGCCTGGGGCAACACATTTTGATAACTCTTTTACTGTCAGCTGCTACTCCAAAGCTTTTGCCTTACTCTTTTGCTATGAAATTACTCCCCCTTTGGATGCTGTAAAGAGCTGTGGTGGCACTGTGATTAAAGCAGTGGGCTGCTAACCAAAAAGGTTGATAGTTTGAACCCACTAGTCACTCTACAGGAGAAAGATATGCCACCAAAGATTTAACTTGGAAACCCTATGGGGCAGCTCTACCCTGTCCTACGGGGTCACTATGAGTTGAAATCGACTCTATGGCAGTGGGTAGGTTTTTGGTGGGTTTTGTATGTTGTGACATTCAAAGGCTGATCCTTCCCTTTAGAAAAATGTGGCTTTTGGGCCCTCAGACTCATTGCTATTTTCTTGGTATTCCTCATGTTTTTTCAGTTGTCTCCTGTTGAACATTTTTCCTTACTTTTTTTTTTTTTTCCTCCTTGGCCAGGCCCTTATATGAAACAATCTTATTATAGTATATGAATAGTGCACACTTAAAACCAATATCCTCATCTGGGGTTTCTGTTTCTTAGAACCTTAAACATTTAAACTCCTATAATCAAATTCCTTCCACTTTAAAAATAAAAACTTCTTTTTTATTTTTGTAAGTGATGAGGAATGTGAACCCAGATAGCTTAGGTGATGTTCCCCCCTGGCTGTACATTCTTCAGGCCTTATTTCTACCAAGAGACAGGCTGCTTAGAAGTCTATGGCTAAATATGATAACTTTTTTTTTTTGTTGTTGTTTCCTTCTGGCATCAGGAATGGGTGGCTTCAGATAGTGGAAAATTCTCAGTAGGTCTCTGGAAAAATTGTACGGAGGGCAACTGTGATGGAGCCTTGTGGTATGGTAATGAAGGTACGTGTAAAGGCACCGTAATAGCATCAACATTTCATGAGGTCAGGGAAACATCTAGCCCCTCGGGCACTGGTTTGTCTAAAACATTGCTCTCTTCACCCTGTGCCCACAGACGCCCTCAAGGCAGTTCAGGCCTTCATGATCCTGTCCATCATCTTCTCCGTCATCTCTCTCGTGGTCTTTGTGTTCCAGCTCTTCACCATGGAGAAAGGAAACCGATTCTTCCTCTCAGGGGCCACCATGCTGGTGTGCTGTGAGTATCTCAGGGGCAGACTCCCATTCAGATTGTTGTTAGTTGCCATTCAGTTGATTGACCTTTCTGAAGCAGATCACCAGATCTGACTCCTATGGCACCTCTGGATGGGTTCGAACCACCAAGCTTTTGGCTAATAGCTGAGCATTTAACTGTTTGGGCCATGCAGTGACTCCTCCTTTAAGCAGAACAGCTTTAAGTAGATGATAACACGAATGGATGCTCCTGGTGAACTTGAGTTGATTAGCACAGAGCTCAGGGAAAACCACCTTGTACAATTTTCTCTGGTTATTTGTTCTCTTTTTGAGAACCTCTGGTTGCAGCTTGAATTAAGATCCCTTGTCTGCTTCATTGTTTAAAACTAGTGCTCGTGGCCCACTACTAAGTGATTGGGACACAGCCCTTCTGGGGCACCTGGTGAAGAAAAGGTGCAAATGTGGGAATCCTCCAAAGGATGAAAACACTTACACAATGCATGCAAATATTGCAATGATTATTCTATTGTCATTCTTCCTAAATGCATCCAGTTTGGTGTAAGGCCATGTTCTTTTACTGTACATTCCTGAATAGTCCTGCCTGGACATGCTGGAGTCCAGAAGGGGAAGATGAACAGTAGACACTGTGTTCTGTGTTTTACTACATCCTCACAGCCACACAAACCAGCACAGGTGCTAATGCCCTAAACACTGCTAATTTATCAATGCAACCGATCAAGCTTAGTCCAGGGCAAGTCAACAGAACTACTGTTGAGGGCCAGACAGCCAAATTTCATTCCCCATTTCCAGTGAAGGGAGTAAGATCTTATAAAAATTATTAAAATTTCTCCATTGTACCCTAAAACAACAGCCATTTTTAACATAAACTTTTTTTTCCTCTTTCTCACGGCAGGGCTATGCATTATGGTTGGGGTGTCCATCTACACTCATCACTACGCGAATGGTTACGGCACCAATTATATCTCGGGCAGTCACCATGGCTATTGCTTCATTCTGACCTGGATCTGCTTCTGTTTTAGCTTCATCATTGGCATTCTCTATCTGGTCCTGAGAAAGAAATAAGGCTGCACTAGTGTATGGGGATCTGGGGGGTGGGGAGGAGGAAGTAGTTGAATCTGGTAGGGGAGTGGAAGTTGCTGTGCTGGAAAAACCATGAAAGGGGCGGGGGGTGGGGAGGGGGGAGTAAGGGTAGGAGAGACCAAAACCCAAACTATCACTGAGGAGATTCTCTACTATCAAGACCCTGCCCTTGGAGAAAGCAGTTGGCTAGTACTTTGATGCTACCTTGATGTGGGCCAGAGAGCTTCTCTCTTACCATCAGACTTGGCCTCCCACTGTTCTCAGTTACATGCACTGCCTGGGGTGGCCTCAGCTGCCACACCACTGACCCTACCCCTGAGGGTGAATTCTGGCTTCTTGTCTCTAGTAGAGCCTTCTTGATGGAGGTGGAGCTAGAGGTGAAGCTTAGAGGCCTGGTAGACCGGGTGGGGTTCCTATGAGTCAGAGAAGGACAGTGGGAGGAACATGGGGGTACATTCCAGGCAGGAATGACAGCAGCAGTGCAGAGGTGGAGGGACAAGCTTTGTTCGGGGGATGATGAGGACATCCTTGTGACTGGAACAGAACTTCCTTTCCTGCTGGGACCCTTGATTAGAAGGATAGATTGGAGAGGTTGAATAGCTCTGAGGTCCTCAGACCTACTGCACCAAGTTAAAATAGGCATACGAGTTACGGCAAGAGTAGACATTGTTTAAGTACCGAATATGCTAAGCCTGGAAGCCGTCCCACCCTTCTGAAGTACCCACAGAGGGCTTTGGCCATGGAGCCATTTTCCCTGTTTAGAACTGATATTTAACTCTGTGGAATTCAGTGGCAATTGTGACAAAATAGGTGGAAGCGAGATAGAGCTAGAAGGCCAAGTTGGTGGGTTAGCTAAACCAAGAAAGAGAACTTTTCACAATGCAAGGCCTGGGGGATTGTCAGAACCCAGACCAGACCTCATAGCGCTGTCCCTCATGGAGGCCTCTTGCCATGGAGTTTGGTAGGTCTCTCCCCTAAAGCCAAGGCAGCTCTTCTGCAGTTCCTGAAAAACTATTTAATGACAAATTCAGGGGTGAAAGCACCACACAAATCATGGGATCAAGAGGCAGTCTTGCAATAGGCTACTTTAGGATCATCCCCTCTCAATGCAGTCATTATTTCTTTCAAGTATATACTGGAAGAGAGATGGACATAACTCCTTGTGACATAATCTTATTACTATCCCTCTAAATTATACTTTGCATGGAAATTCTGTATACTTATCCATATTTGGGATCAGGGCTCCTAGCTGAATAGTAGCTCTAGCTTTGACACTGGCTAGAGTGGTCACCTCTTCAAGTCCCTGCCTCTCCCATTTCACAGGTGAGCATAGCAATTCTGGAATCTGATTAAAACACACACAAACCAGAAGCAAATAACAGGTCCTTGGGTGGAAGGTGCTATCTAATAGAAAAGTATTAAGCATACTATATTTTAGTCATGATCAGAACAGAGTGCCTGCACTCCCAGGAAAATAAGAAAGTTCCTGTGTGATAAATACAAATGTAGGTGAAGGGCAGATATTTTCTTTTTTTTTTTTAAAAAAAAAAAACAACTCTTGTGGTATCCAGTTAGATGATAACTGTCCTGCTCTGATGCCACAGGAGTATTTCTGTATAGGACTTAGAAGTAAGTAGCACGTTATTCCTGGTTAAGCAGGCATTGCTCTTCCTTGGAGCAGCTATTTTAAGCCATCACAGATTCTGCCTAATTTTTTTTTTTTTTTTTTGGTGGGGTTGGTGGCAGGAAGACACTTTCTTTGCCACCTTGAGAAGAAGATCTACCCTAGGAAGAATCTGAAACATCTTGCCCACTTTCCTTTTTCTACTGTCTCCTCATCCTATTTCTTATATACCTTTCTTTTTTGGGGAGTTATTAATGCCATGATTGCTGGTATTTATGTAAAAGGATTATTACTAAGTATATTTCTCCATATTCATTCTGGTTAAGGGAATCCTGAGAACATGTCACCAAATTACCTGGACTGGGGGTGGAGAAATTGGCCAGCAAAAACTATGGGGTGATGAACTTTTTAATTATGATTTGATTATCAGACAATTATGAAGGCTGTCTTATGTGCAGATGTATACTTACATATCAGATATATACAAAAGAGATACTCATATTATGTTAAAAATTCAAAATATGACTGGAGTGAACCATGTATTCCCTTGTCTTTTACTTTTTTCTGTGACATTTATGTTTCATGTAATTTGCATTACATTTGTGGGTTGTTCTAGTACTGTACTTGGCTTCTTCTTTAATGGATTGATATTTCTTATACCATAATTGTAAATATTTTGATACAAATGTTTATAATTCTAGGGATATAAAAATAGATTCTGATTCCCTTCATAGTGTGAATGTTTTCTTTCTAAAAAGAAGTAGGGAAATATGGATAATAGTGACCTTTATTCCTAATTATATTACCAATCAATTTGGTATGTACCTTGGCATATATTTAAGACATTAAGCTACTTTCTGGTAATACAATGGTCATTTCTACAATAACTCAGGCAACAGAATGTTATTTAGTATAGTTTTATCTTGCTTTAATTAAACCTTTTAGATAAAAATGGAACTCATAAGCTAATATATTAGAAAGAGGTTATTCTCTCGAAAATAACAATGGCTGTGACATTAAGAAATGACACATCTAAGTTTCTTTGAAATACCCAGCTTCTCTAATGTATTCAAATATAAAGTGATTCACAAAGGTAAACATCACACACATTTGCAGGAACCCATTCATTGCATAAACTGGGATATATCTGCGTGAACTCTGTATGTGAAGGAAAGCTTTACTGTCTCTATGTGAGCAATAAGAACTAGCAGCAGTGGTAGAAGAGCAGCTTAGATCCTGTGGACCCCAGCATCATGTCAATGCCAATATGATAAGAATAGTTGTAATGTGGAATAGCCAATCTTCCAGTCTCCTCTGGTCATGTGAAATAACTGTACGGAGTAATGCACCAAAAATACACGATGGAATCTGAAAGTAAAACTTTGATATATTTTAAAATCTATTCATTGATCAAATTGCTTTGATCATGAATGGTCTCTCTGAGAGCTATATGATTCCTGAGATATTATTGTTTCTTGGATACTATCATTAAAGAGGTGTATGTTCCTCCCTTACTTCTCTCAGGAAACCTACCTAGGGATTCTTTCCCTCATGGCATCTACACAGACATAGATCAGACCTCCAGAGCATCCCTTTTTCCCTTCCCCTAGAGAGGTCCTTAGCTAGAATATCCAGTAAACTCCCAACCCTACACAAGGAGCCTTCTCATACCAATATGGAATTGTCTTCCTCAGAGACCTGGATGCTGCTTGAATAATTTCTTTTAGAAGGATCAACTCAAGGCTGGTCCATATGAGGCAGGGTTAAATATGTCCCAGATGTTCAACTTTTCCAAACTGCTGTCCACTTCATCATCTCTAACATCAGTTCCTTCTCCTCCCCTCAGTACTCTTCCTCTCATGTTAGGGTTCTGTAATTTGCTGTAATGTCTCACAGAACTCATGAACCACCAAGGAAATGGCTCACGTGGTTGTGGAGGCTGGCAAGTCCAAAATGTGTGGGTCAGGCATCAGTCTGGAGGATTCTCCTCACTCTTGTGAGCAGGGGCTTATGAATCCAAATCAGCAGTTCAGATAACAGGCTTTCGTCACACAAGGCTGTAGAAACTAAACAGTTAGAGCAGACAATAGGCTGCTGTGTCTTGTCCCAAGAACCAAAAGTCAGATGACGAACCAGATAAGGGATCCAGAGCAAAAGAGAAAACTTTGCCAGAGCATTCATATATATTGGTTGCAGACCATACCTTCAAGGAAACTAAGGGAGGTGACTTGAGTTACATCTTCTAGTAAAGCAGGGACTCAAGCTACATCCCACTCTAATCCTGCCTCATTAACATAATGGACAACTCACTCTCAAATGGGACCATAACCACAGACATAGAGGTTAAGATTTCTAATACATCACAAAATGGAGAACTATGGTTACCCTACTGTCATAGAGTTGATTCTGACTCAAAGTGACCCTATAGGACATAGGAGAACTGCCCATAAGGTTCCCAAGGCTGTAAATCTTTCAGAGCAGACAGCTTCATCTTTCTCTCATGGAGTGGCTGGTGGGTTCAAACCACCAAACTTTGGTTAGCAGGCAAATGCCTTAACCACTGTACCACCAGAGTTTAGGACTATGGTTGGAAGGCACTGCAGTAGGATAGAGTAGTAGAAAACCAAAACCAAACTCACTGTTGTTAACTTGGATCTGACTCACAGCAACCCCTCCTTGGGTTTCCGAGGTAGTATCACTATGGAAGTAGATTGCCCAACCTTCCTTGTGAGGAGTGGCTGGTGGGTTTGAACCACTAGCTTTCCGGTTAGCAGTCAAGGCAGGATGAAAATAGAAAAAAAACTTGCCAGAAATCTTGGAGTAGATTTTGAGGAGGAATGATTAATTTTACCGATGTCTTCACACTCCAGAAGGTGAACACAGAACACAAAGCACACAGCAGATTGAGAAGGATATGCCCTGATTGTGTGAAGTCCAGGGAAAGAAATGCTTTGGCATCCCATTTGACCTTATTTGTCTTAAGGAGGCATGTGGGACCTATGCATGGGGGATACAGACACATCCGTTACCATCAAGTAGGTTCCTACCCATAGCGACCCAGAGGAGAATTGCCCCATATGGTTCTCAAGGCTATAATCTTTATAGAAGCAGACTGCTGAAAGTTTCTTCTATGGTGCTGCTTGTTCTAACCACTGACCTTTTGGTTAGCAGACCAAACCAAACCAAACTCACTGCCACGGAGTCGATTGTGACTCACAGTGACCCCTCCTTAGGTTTCCGAGGCTGTACCTCTATGGAAGTAGATGGCCCAACCTTTCTTCTGAGGAGTGGCTGGTGGGTTTGAACTGCCAGCCTTCTGGTTAACAGTCAAATGCCTTAGACACTACGACACCAGAGC